AAATACCGTGTATTCGCGAAATAAGCCATTTAATATTTTAGTAATAATTGAGTAATATCTCTAAAGTAGCCAGTTAGGCAAAAAAAAAACTTATCCGTGCAACAATTTAGGGTTTGAGTTGATAGCTGAGGTCTTAGAAATAAAATTCTTAGCAATCCCACTTTCTCAATAACATCTCCAAAACTTTAATCTTTCTTTTCGGAAATTTACATTTATTTAAAGTGAATTTTAAACCATATTCAAATGCAGTTTGAAATACTCTGGGGGCTTAAACCACTCAGCCTCATCAACAAAGGGTAAAATGATATCATCCATACAGAATTAAAAAAAAATGTCCTATTTAAGAAAAACATGAAATGCATCATTAATGCATCCTTCGAAAATACATGGGTGATTGTAAAGATTAAACGAACTTTATTTTACTCATAACGTCGACCATGAGTCACAAATGAACTGAATTCTTATTATTCTGTCGTATTTAAACATGGAAGTTTTTAATGCAATTGTTGAAAATATTTTCCCTGGATTACATTGCTCAAAGACCTCTTTGATCACGGATAATGCATTTTTACATTTAATTTATGATAATCTATAAACAGATCTCATTTTCACTTCTTTTTTTGTTTCATAGCAACAATCAGAACAAATATGTAATCAAGTCCGATATATATATATATATATATATATATATATATATATATATATATATATATATATATATATATATATATATATATATAGTAGTGACTTAATAATAAATAACGTATTTGGGCCTTTGAATTTTGTTTTCCGGGAAATAAAATCGTCTAGACTTTTGAGTTGGAGTTATATCATATTTCAATGCAATATTTTTCCTGAGCTTCGTGTTCATATTTTTATTGCTCATGCTAAATCGACTAATAACATAAACATCTCATTCTGCGCAAGCCACTCTTCTGCTTGCCTGATTCCAATATGAGTAGTGGTTTCTTTGCTAAGCATTTCTTATAAATTGACAAATATAACTAGTTCACACGATGATTTAAGTATTTCAGTTTTCCGTAAATTGGCATTTAATCTTACTACAAATCGCTCATATGTTTCCCATGGTAATTTTATCACATTTAAAAAAATATTCAAACATATCGGAAGCGAGTTAGCAATTAGGGAGTTATGTTTATCATAGAGTCTTATGATTCTTCACCCTAAAGAAGCAATAAAGCATCTTCCGTTTTTTCTAAAAGAATATTAATTACATATAATATTTGAAATTTTAATACTTCGTTTATTTTTTAATAGCAAATGCTTGTTCCAAAAAATGGTAATGTTTATTATATATTTTACTTTTTATGGATCAAGAAAAGTTAGTGTTTTTTAACACTTTTTATTAAATTTTCAACACTAATCACTAATTTCAATTTGTTCTCTTGGCTATTAAATTTAAGATTCAAATATTGTTTAATACTTTATTTGTCTGAAATTATGTGAAATTTTTAACTTACACAAAATAAGTTTACATTCATATATATCTTAACGACTCATGTTATTTATTTAGATACATAGATGATTGAATTAGTTTTGCAATTAAATAGAGTATGTTCCTAATTTTAATTTTATCCATACTATTTGAACTTATTAAAAACCAATTATAATATTGAGTCAGCAAACTTTTTGAACCTTTAGTTAAAAGTTGAGAATAATTTGCGAAAATGTAACATTTTTGTCAAAAGAGACTCTTTTGAATTTGATATTGTAAAAATGCCTGTCTGGAATAGCAACCTACACACGTCTATTTTCAGAAATATTCTAATTTATATTAAGAAAATTATGATTTAGTTTATGACAATGTTTTATAAGAAAAATATTATAAAACATTACATCAATAATGCTTCGCCAGTTATCCAGCCAACTATCCAACTAAGTTGTTTTAAAAATATACTCCTTAATAGTTTTAGTTCACAATATCTAACATTTTAGAGAAAATAATAAATTTAAAAAACTCGACGAAACTTTTTCGTCTTTCACTTTTTGTAAAACAACTGCGTTATGAAAGAATAAGCATTTTGAATACACAAATATATACATATGTAGAGTCAAAATTCTCTACTAAATAAAGATGAATAATCAATAATCATCAAAATTGAAAAACATTTAAATTGCATGATAAACTAGACATAAGATTTTAGAAAGTATATATTAGAAATTAAATATATATATAATAAAATTTAAAATATAAAAATATATGGATGTTACAGTATTATAAACATTGCTGACTTATGACCCCCTATAAGTCAGTAATGTTTATAATACTGTAGCATCCATATTGTTATATTTTCAATTCTATTATTTTTAATTTATACATGTATATATATACATATACATATACGCCCATGACTTCGCATTTAAAACTTATTTTTATTTATAAGAATAAGAAATTGGATTTCATTTTTAAATTAAAATAATTTTTAAATAGCTTAATTTCAATGTTCTTGAATATATTAATTCTTTAATTGTAATAAACGCTAGAAAATCATACTCACCGTATCTAACTGCATTAAGAAAATAATTATACATAACATAATTTCATAATTCATAAAATAATTAACGTAGAGTGATAACCTTTAACGTTAGAATTTAAAATTTAAATTTTACTTTTACAACAAGAAACATCTTTGTACACTAATTAGTATCAATGATAATACTGAAAGCGAATTTATCTCTTCTGTGAAATCGATTTTGTATCAGAACTCACCGATAATCCAGTGAAATCAACACGAGGCCAAGTGCTATAGTCAATGACTCTTCTCTATGAAGCAAACATTTACTTTCCCTTATTTGCCGATCCGTCGATACCTAATAGAAAGCCCGTTGCAAGGTTCTATTCCATGATTCTACCGTCAGACCAAGAGTACTAGTCAATAGTCAACTGCCTTAAGCATAAGTTACATATGTGCTATAACAGCAGCTTGATTTTCTCATGGTGTTTCATTGGATTTTATGTGTGATCGAAGCGTATCCTAGGGTAATGGTAGGTTATACTGATGCCTGGATTATTATTCACTTACCTATTGCACTAGAAAACCCCTTTTTTTAAATTATTTTTTATGTGTGTAGAAAGGAGTATTGAAATAGATGCTTATGATTTGCTTGAGGTAAATTCTGTCTGACGGTTTCAAAAATGAGATTTAATTTTTAATTCCTTGTTAACCTTTTTTTTTGAAATTTTAGTTAACAAATTTTAACAAAAATAAAATTTTTTTACAAATTTAAATTTTTTTAAAAAATGAGTAGTAAAAATGTTTATAACAAATATCTACGCAGAATGATACTAAACTGTGTTTCTAAAGAATCTTTCATGATTACTTAATAAATAGAGCATTTACCTATTTATAATCAAATTGCTATTCTATATTTACAATAGCTTAGACTTTCTGGATAAAAGTTTTTCTGCATTTGATTAAAAATTTAAAAAAGACTAAATTATATTATATACTTGTATAATTTATGAATCATATCAGGGTACATTTTCTGATTTTTGAAAGTCAAATGCACATGTGAGCAACCTTAATCTGCATTTATGAAAGATATTGTTTGATTAAATTAGAGAGCTGGTTCAGTAAATTATGTTACTGCTTATTGAAACTCTGCTATCAAAGTGATTTAATAAAGTGCATTACTTATTCCGTCTTATAGTTTGAGCTTCAGACTAATAATCTTGACAGCAGAGAGTTTTCTCTAAGCCTAGAGCCTAAATACTTAAGGATTATTATTCTAACATCGAACTCCTGATTCATGTGAAGGACTCAAACAGTGACAGAAATTGAAGCTTGGAGGACAAAATGTTTAATTGGTTCGTTATTCGCTTGAGTCTTTGGGACTAATACATTTGTTATGAGTTTCAATTCCGTATTCATGGCTATCCCGAATTTATTATGAAAACAATTGGAAAGTCTGCAGATAGATTATCACACAATTCTTCAATTACGATTCTATTACTGTGGATGAGGGATTCATTCGGACAGCATAACATAAAGAAAACAGATGAAACAGTGACCTAAGAGCACACAAGAAATATAAACGAGAGAAGGTGCCTTTTTTCAAATCTTATGTATATATATATATATATATAATCCAATATAATTTTTTTTAAATATATAATCATATACATATACATACACACATATATAAATTAATACATATATATATACATATACACAAATATATAAACAAAAATATAAAAATAAACATATAGTTATATACCTAACATAACTAAAATTAGGAAGAAGGCACATAGTATAAAGACAAACTCCTGGCCTTAGGAACCAGGATTGCAGGTTTAAACAAGTTTTGCGGCGCCAACCTTCACCTGTAATTTGTCATACTATGTACCAAGAGGAAAGGAAAAAGAATTATATATGTAGAATTTAAATATTAAAAAATCATTAAACTAAATAACATAGGAACAAAAACATAACCTACTAATTCGGAGTTAAAACGATGGCCAAGAGTGCAGTAACGTGTTCCCGCCAAATAGGGGTGAGAGCAGAACCGCATAAAATTAATTGCGATACGATAATAAGAAATATATATATATATATATATATATATATATATATACTTTTAAAAAAATCATAAAAATAATAATCATATAAAATTATATACTTTTAAAAGAAAATCATAAAAATAATAATCATATAAAAATTAGCGTAAAATATAAAAGAAACTCAAAAAAATATATATTAAAACTATTTTTTTAAGCATGTGGCTATATATATATATATATATATATATATATATATATATATATATATAGTTATATAGTTCAAATTTTCAACGTTTATAAAATACATTTTATTCTTCCATTCATGTTCAAATACCTTTTTTTAAACTTGAAGGGGATGATACTTGAAGGTAATACAGTTTTCTCAAATATTAATTCATTAATTAAATTAAAAAATGAATAAATAGTAACAAACAGAAATAATTCAACAGCATATGTAGAAAGGAAAATCATTCGTTGTTGTCTTGTAGCGCAATGGTTAGCGCTTTAGACTTCTAATCCAAAAGTCGTGGGTTCGAATCCCACCAGGAATAGCCGAATTTCTGAGAATGTAATTTCCTTTCTTTACTATACTATTTTATTAGAATAATTAAATCTAATTAATGTGAATAAATAGAGTAAAAAATAGTCAAACATCATATATAGAATGGAAAATGGAAAATTGCAATTAAAATCGTTTCCTATTTTGTCACTTAATATTGTGATTCTGTCATATGGATACACATATTTATATTAATTGTAATTATTTAATAAAAAGAATCTAAAATAATTTTTTTTTTTTGAGGACCTAAGTAGGAATTGACTTAATTTTTTTCTATTACTTGTTAATTATGATACTTACTCGAATTGACAGCTGATTTAAACTGAATAATTATGAAAATCAAAAAAATGTGGAAATGAAGTGTAAATATATACAAATATTAATCGAATTAAAACTCAATGCTTTTGCTTTGATTTTATAGTGTGATAAAAAATTCTTGCCTTGATTATAAAAATCCATCATAAAGTAAGCATTTAATATAATAATGTAGCTTTTATGTCATGGATAGGTCAGTTTTTGTAGTTTTTTTGTGTGCAGTCTTTGACACTAATGCGTTTTAAGAGAGACTCGGAGGAAAATTTATAAAAAAAAGACAATTTTGTTTGACGAAATGGTTCCGATTCAGGGAAATTCCAATATATGATTTGGTTTCACGAAAGGGAATCACTTACTGATGTCCATAGTAAATTTCAAAGTTGTTATGAAAGTAAATGTCAGTGTGTAAATCAGTAAAGTGGTGGTATGAAATGTCGCAAACAAGCTTTACAAAATTTCTTCATAAACTACTTACGTCACATGCTTATAAAGTTCAAGGCATGTAAAGGAACACTTGATGGGAACTGAAATACTACTTAGACATTATCTGAGTAATCAACAGAGTACACTTTGAGATTTACTAAGGTAAATGGTCTTATAAAAATTTATGATAATACTTACAATATGTCGAAAAATCATACGCCTAATTGTAACAATTTGAATACAATAAATATTTATAATCATGGCAAGACTTTCGGTTCACCCTATACTCTTTATTATAAAAATAATTTTTGCTGAAGTGTTTTTGAGCAATCAAATAATATGTAAAGTAATAGTTAACATATATGTTATAAGAATCTAATAATGTATAAATATGAATGTCTAATTTACTCCCGAAACTGAAAACTAGAAATACTATCCATCAAAATATTCTGAAAACCTTGCATTAAAATTGTAATTCCTGTATTCCTCTACTGAATCTGATGTATCATTCCGCAAGATTATAACTTTAACGGAAGAACGAAGCATACAGTTTCTAACAAATAATAACTTTTCTTGAAAACAAATTAAATAATTAACAAATAGAACACATTTATATGTTACAGAACAATTTCACTAAGGAAAAGCCAATACCAATATTTAATTCAACCTTGTTTTCTTACACATCCCGCACATTCAAATTTGCCAATACTCAACTAAGAACAGTGACTAGGACAGGCTGATTTAATCAGATACTTATTCTAATCCAAGCATTATTCTCTCCTCTCTTTAGAAATTTGAACAAACAGTCAATTAATACGCACATTCTCGACAAATTTTACTCTCCCAGCCAAACAAACTGAAAAATAAGCAACCAAAGCAGACGCTATTCACATCTAGGCGAATCCGATAACTTTCCTCCTTGCTAATTGATATCGAGTGAGGCAGCAATTTAACCAGGAACTCTAATCGAAATAATTCCAGATAGTACTGATAAATAGAATAATATCTCAGGTGAGGAGTGCGTACCCTAGGGGTCTGTGCGAACTCCCTCTGGTCCCACAGGTGTTCTTGTCAAGGGAATGGACCTTCAGGATCAAACACCCCCTCTTGCACCCCTCCGGGAATCTCATCTCTGTGTCAGAAACAAGACGCTTACTTCGAGTCAACTCCCTGAATAAAAGGAATATCGACGGTGGGTGTTCAACCTGTCACCTGATCAAATTCTGCTCTCTCTCTCTCTCCTTTCCTATAGGTTTCCATCTCGTTTTAGTAAGGGATGCAACCCTAAAAACGGAAGAGTAATTGGCCGAAAATGGCTTTTTGCCCCTTACTTCCTTGTGTAAGGATTTCTTTCTGACTACTTTTTTTTATTGTTATTCATTCCGCTTTAGAATTCAGGTGGGAGGTTGGATGACTCATTCGAAATGCAGATGAATTAACTTCCTGCCCCTAAATACTCGAATGGCCCCTACCTGATTCTTTCTCTCCCTTTGAATCAATGATTGAAGGCATTTTTTGTATTGCTATTATTCAAAGTGAGGAGGAGAAGCGTTGATTTTGTTCGATAAATTTTTAATGGAATTAGTAAAAAAAAATAGGTTTGGGTCATATATTAATTGATTTCCTTGAGAGAATGAGTCAGCTTCTAATATCAGTACCAAACAGCAGAAAAACAGTGTTATATCTGTTTTAGTTTGAAATTGAGAGTTATGTATGGTATTTTATCAATAAAAATGATTTTCAAATTTAAAATGCTTAAAGTAAAATAATGTAAATTTCAGATGATTTTATTTAACACGTTATTACTCGGTCAATATCTTTTTCTGCTTTGCATGCTTGTTATAAACCAAATAATTTAAGCTGGGGGGGGGGGGTCGAATTTTGATTAAATATACTTATCACTTTTTCCCATAAAAATTCATCTTTAAAATAAACAAAATAGTGGAACAGACTAAGAGAATTTTCTTAACAATAACTTTGAAGGAAGTGATAACAACGAAATGGAGTTATCGGTTAACATAATCTAGTTTACAGTTCATGAAATAACTAATCTAAGGTTTATTAATGAAAAAAATACATTGAATATATTAATATTAATATTCATGATACCGACACGTGATGAATTTTGTTCGAATGTTCTCGTAAATCACTTATAAGGTTCCAAAATGCATAATTCTCCAGTTAAATGGATCCATTTGATGAATAATATATATACCTTTAGATATTTAAATAGAACCAAAAAGTTTTACAGAATTTTAAGTTGAATGGTGATAAAGATTAATTAACTGCCAGCATTGAATATTTAAAGAAAATCGCTAATATTTATTTAAAGAATTAAAGTATTTCAAAATATTACGACTCAAAACGAAAGCTCAATGTGTGTGGAGTTATAATTAATGAACTAAATATACACTTTAATAATATTTTAATCTGCATTTATATATTATTACCGCCTGTCATAAGAAATTGCTCCTTACATCGTACTTTCAGGTGTAAATCAAGTGCGTCTAGATCAGAGGTCACAAATGTGGTGGTCGACGAAAAAATTTCGATGGCCCCTAGAAAAATGTGGAATATACTCACTTATCACGTTAAGAAAACAGGGACATCGTATACTTTGAAAAAAATCGATTTTTCAATTTTAGTTCTAAAAAATAGTTCTTATTTTTCTGAATCTAAAAATGTATAATACTTATATGTTTGTTGATAAAATAGCCCTAAAAAATGAAAAATGTGTTTCCCCTGTGTTTTATCTATGTAAACGTTCTATAGTGAACAAAATATCTTTTAGTATGTAATGTCTAGTTTTTTAAAAAATAAATTTATACGTGCAAAAAAAATTAAGATTTTCATAATTTTAAGGTTTTTTGATTATTTTAAAGAAATTATGCAATTAATTCGCTAAAAAACTGATTCAGTATGTTTGATATGTTGATGTATATATATGTGTAAATTTTTTTGTATATTCAAAGAATATTTTGTAAGAAATACATGAAAATATGTATTACAAGATCTCGAAAATTATGTTCATGTTAACTAAAACAAAGGGAAAAAAAACATATGAATTTAAAATTACTTTTGTAACTCTAGAAAATGATTAAGGATTATTATTAGTCATATAAAAATAGGCAAGCAAATACTAATCATATGTGAAAATATTGTTTTTTTTTAGTTTTTTCCCTTTTTCTCAAAAGCATATTTTTTTGCATTTCGGTACATTTTTTAAAAAAAACTATTGCACTATATGATTCCAGATTTTTTTATAATTCTATACAAGATACCTATGCATATATAGTGAACCAATTTATTTTCTATTAAGATAGTTCCTAGTTTTTTAAAAATAGTTTTATGCATAAAAAAAGCAGAAAAATAAAAAAAATTCAAATTTCAAAGTTTCATAATTTTTTTAAAGAAACTATACTAACATTTTACTAAAAAAATTGGTTCACTGTATTTTATGTATTGTTTTATATATGTGTAAAAAATATTTTGCTTAAAAAATGGATACTTTTTTAAAAAATGGTACCTAAACACAAGTATATATTACGAGTTCTCAAAAATTATGTATTACTTAAATTGAGTAGTAAAAAAAAAACTTTTGGAGTAAAAAGTTATTTTTGTAGTTCTACAGAATAATTAAATTATCTTTATTAAGAACGTAAGAAATCTAAACTCTATTGGAAATTCCAAATGATATATGTCTCATAAACAAAGAGTCTTAATTTTGGCATTTTACTCTTTCGAGCATGTCCTGGTTCCCTTAAGTTATGTTTAGCCCTCTGGCTGGAACATCATTTTTTTTGCTGCTCTGAGAAACATCCGTCTGACAGACGGGTACGTAAATGTTTTTGAATTTTATTACCTTAAGGACTGTTTTAAATGTCCTTATAGCTCATGAAATTGAGTATGGCTCAAATAAGATGCGTGGGATTAAATAAAGCGCAGAAATATATTTTTATCACTAGAATTGTGACTAGTAATTTTATAAAAACTGATTAAAAATTATTTATATTCATGTAAAAGTAATTAAAAATAATACTACCAAACATGAAAAAAAACTATCGGAATATCCGTGGGATAGATGGTGGTAGATAGGAAAAATAGCACACATCGTGAGTTAAAAAAAATCGCCATGTACCCCACCACGTGATCCTCTCACTGGGTACAGTCCAACTGAAGACGTCAGGGCAGCCCACCCAAAAATCACGCCACAGCGTTATATACAGGCATCAAAGCAAATCATCCCCGTCTGAGA